TGGCTGTCTTTTCCCTGTGTGTTCACATCATCTTTCCTCTGTGTGTCTGTGTCCTAATTTCCTTTTCTTGTAAGGACACAGTCATATTGGATTAGAGCCACCCTAATGACCTCACTTTAATTACCTCTTTAAACACCCTATCCAAATATGGTTACATCTGGAGTATTAGGGGTTAGGATTTCAAAGTAAAAATTTATTTTGAGGCTGTGACATAATTCAGCCCATAATAGAACTAAATGAATTTAGCAAAGTTGCAGGGCATGAAAACACACAAAAATCAGTTGTATTTCTATGTACTTACATTGAGCTCTCCAAAAACGAAATTTAAAAACAATTACAATAGCATTAAGAAGAATACTTAGGAATAAGTTTAACCAAGATGGCAAAAGACATGTACACTGAAAACTTTGAAACACTGTTAAAAGAAATAAAGGAAGAGCTAATTAATTGGAAAGACATTGCCTGTTCATAGATTAGAATACAGTATTATTAAGATTTGGGATAAATCAGGGTTGGTAGAGGGAGAATTAAGTCTAATGCAAAACAAGATACTCTTTAATTCCATAGAAAATTAAAAGTTCATGAGAGTAAAATAACCATAGTCTACTATGTGACTCAGATGTGAATAGCTTAATTAAAAAAAATAGCTTTACCGAGATAGAAGACATATACAATATAGTTAACCACTTACAGTGTGCAATTTAGTGGATTTTAGTATCTTCACGGAGTTGTATGTCCAGTACCAGTCACTTTTAGAACATTTTTATTGTCCCAGAAAGAAACCTGGCACCTGTTAGCAGTCCCTCCCTGTGTTCCTCTATCCCCTCACCCTTGGCTCCTGGCAACCACTAATCTACTTCCAATCTCTGTAGATCTCCCTGTTGTGGGCATTTCCTGTAGGTGGCATCATTTAGTATGTGGTCCTTTGTGACCAGCTTCTTTCTCCTAGTGTAAGCTAGTTTTCAAGATTCATCCTTGTTATGGCACATGCCAGTCCTTCATTTCTTTTTACTGCTGAATAATAATCCATTATATGGATAATACCATGTTTTATTTATCCATTCATCAGTTGACAGACATGTGGATTGTTTCCACTTTTTGGGCCATCATGAGTAAAGCCGCTCTAGCATTCCTGAACAAGTTCTTGTGTGGACATAATGCAATCCATTTTCTTGTCTATCCCTAAGAGTAGATTTTCCAAGGTAGCTGCACCATTTTACATTCTCAGCAACAGTATATGAGAGTTCCAGTTTCTCCACCTCTTCGCCAACACTTGTTATTGTCTGTCTTTTTGATTATGGCTATCTGTAGTGGGTTGAATGGTGACTCCCCAAAAGATATGTCCACAGCCTAATCCCTGGAAGCTGTGAATGTGACCTTGTTTGGAAAAAGGGCCTTTGCAGGTGGAATTAAGTTAAGAATCTTGAGATGAGATCATCCTGGATTTTCTGGCCCTATACCCAAGGACAAGTGTCCTTATAAGATAAGAGGAGAAGGCCATGTGAAAACAAAAGCAGAGATTGGAGTTATGCAGCCAAAGTAAAGGAGTACCTGGAGATACCAGAAGCTAACAGAGGCAAGGAATTCTCCTTTTAGAGCCTTTGGAAGGAGCCTGGCTGTGCGGACATCTTGATTTCAGATTTCTGGCCTTTGGAACTGTAAGAATATAAACTCATTTTGTTTTATGTCACCACATTTGGGGTAATTTGTTAGTGCAGTGTTGGGAAACTGATACACCAATATAGTGGTGTCTCTTCGGTTTCCATTTGCGTTTCCCTGATGAATAATGATATTAGGAGTATTTTCGTGGCCTTATTGGCTAGGTGTACATCTTTTTTTGTACAAATGTCTATTTAGATCCTTCGCCCTTTTAAAAATTGGGTTGTCTTTTTATGAGTTCTAAGAGTTCTTCATCCAAGTCTTTAATCAGAGAGATGATTTTTAAAAATTCTCACCCATTTGGCAGGTTGTCTTTTGACTCTTTTGATGGTTTCCTTTGAAGCTCAAAAGTCTTTCATTTTGATGAAATCCACTTTATCTTTTTTTCTGTTGTGTTTTTGACATCACATTGAATAAACTATTGCCCAGTTCAAAGTCGTGAAGATTTATGTTTGTGTTTCCTTCTAATAGTTTTATAAAAGTTTTTAGCTTTTACACCTAGATCTTTGATCCATTTTGAGTTAATTTTTGAATAGATGTGAGGTAGGGATCCACCTTCATTCCTTTGTGTGTGAATATCCAGTGGTCTGTGAATAGCTTCGACTTAGTAAAGGAAACACTGATAATTGATCAAGCTGAATAAAACTATAATTGGGAGGATGGGGGGTGGTGGGTGGGGCAGGAAGGGTGTCCAGTGAGTGGTAAGGTCTGGGAAAGAAAGGGAGTTAAATCCTCCTCTCCAGTAGAGGCAAGTCAATAAAGCCTAAAATGGAAAACTCAAGAAGTAGCAACATAAGCATGTTATTTAGAAACATGGAGGTAAATAAAATAAAAGAGGTGAAAGCAACCCAGAGATGCTAATTTAGCAGGTTGGGCGTATGCCGCTCCACCCTAGGATTCTAATGAGTAGACAAGGTTGTGAACCATTGATCCAGAGGTGCTGACTTTGGCCAACCCATGGGCATTTTCTCTTGCCCACAACTCATTTACAAAGTATGTAGTTCTAGAAGGAAAAGAGTGCTCACTATGGTATTATTAAGCTGACAGAAGAGGAGAAAAAGTGGAAATACCTTAATGTCTGAAATCTGCATTTTGGTTAAGACAGACTTCAAATGGTAAAGGATTGAAGAATAAAATGAGACCAACAAAATAAAATCATTTCTAAACCAGGCAAATACTACTGCAGCACTGATCTGCTGATCCAGCAGTAGGAAAACATACTCTTAAAAAAAAAAAAAAGTGAAGCAGTTACCTCTGATTGATTGAAATGGGCATGGGGAGGCAGATGTTGTTTTCATCACAGAGTTTCGAAAATTACGTCTAATAATTATGCATAATTTGATAAATTAAAAAAGAGAAGGCAATAACAGATTCTGAATAAGGAGAACAATGGGGAGATGGGCCCTACTAGATATTAAAGTTTATCATGTAGCTGTAGTAATTAAAATCGTGCCATAGTGGAGTACAGGTGGATGGAAAGACGCATGGAACAGAATATGAAACCTGGAAATGGATTCAAATGCTTAGAACAATTCATGATAAAGGTGGTATTTTATTTTAAATCAGTGGGAAGAGACATTCATTTAAGGGTGTTGGAGTAAGTGGATGGCCATTCAAGAAACAAGTAAAGTTAGATCCACACTTCACATCCACTTTGAACCAAAAGGACCAAAGATTTAAATAAAATAAAATCTTCAGAGTACTAAAAGGAACCCACACACAGAGCACAAACTGGAGAAAGAAGGAAAGGGAAGTGGGACACGTGAGCAGAGTAGCACAGGACAAACCAAGGACAAACTTGCTATTGGGAAAATCTTGTTTGAAACCCCGGAGCTTTCACCATCTCTTTTCTTAACCTGTATTTTAGGAAATACTATCTTGAGATAAACATTTATCTGTAACATGATAACATGATAATAGCCACAGAGATTGAAAAGTTTGTATTAAAATGTGTGGAAGAGTTTGTTTCTCTTCTGTTAAATACAAGTTAGATGTATGGTTTTTATTATAAGTAACTGTGCTCTATGATATCTTTTAAATAAAAATTTCATTTTTATTAGCTATGCACCAACAATTGATACATCCCTAACATTCAAAGTATTTATTTCTGGATGGTAGTTTTTTGTTTTCTTTTTTTACTTTCTTTGTGACTTTCTGCACTGCATTATTCTTATGATAACCTTGTATTGTTTTTATAAAAACAATAAAGACATAATTCAAAATATGAAATACATAATCCTATTAAAGAACACAGAATCAGTATTTATATCCTTCCACTGTGGATTTTAGTTCGGAATTCATTTCTTATCCTGGTAGCAGACATTAATCCATCGCCTTCTGTATGGAGCGATTAGGAGAAACAGGCTGGGGCCATGTAGCCCCACAAGTAGAGGATGTGTTGCACTTTGTCCCGGTTCCCAGCTGACCAGGCCAGATTGAGGAGCCTTACAGGTGCACTCAGAGCACAGAGGGAGCGCTCTCGGGTAGCAGAGGTAGTGTTCTTTTTTTTTGTTAAGATTTTTTATTTATTTATTTGACAGAGAGCACAAGTAGGCAGAGAGGCAGGCAGAGGCAGAGGGAGAAGCAGGCTTCCCACTGAGCAGGGAGCCCGATGTAGGGCTCGATCCCAGGACCCTGGGATCATGACCTGAGCCGAAGGCAGCTGCTTAACCGACTGAGCCACCCAGGCGCCCAGAGGTAGTGTTCTTTTTTTTTTTTTTTTAAGATTTTATTTATTTATTTGAGAGAGAGAATGAGAGAGAGCACATGAGAAGGGGGAGGGTCAGAGGGAGAAGCAGGCTCCTCGCTGAGCAGGGAACCCGATGCGGGACTCGATCCCGGGACTCCAGGATCATGACCTGAGCCGAAGGCAGTCGCTTAACCAACTGAGCCACCCAGGCGCCCGAGGTAGTGTTCTTAATGTCCATGAATGGCTGGGACTATTTTATTTCTTCTGCTTTTCCTAGATGTGGTGTGACTGTGAACCTTGTAGGCAGCTTGTAAATTCACTGAAGCAGAATCTGTATTTACCTTCTCAGGTGCCACAGGGCCTACTGCATTGCCCTGGACAGTAGTACCCTAGAAATGTTTGAAAATGGAATTTAATTAATTGGGAGATTTTTTTGGACTGACAGAAAAAAAAAAAATGGTCCACACACTTGTGTAGCTGGTATTTTAGGAATGGTGGCCCAGATACTCCCATCAGACACATAAGTCGGGATTGTGAAACTTTAAATTTATGAAAGCTGTTCTAGAGATGATCTCTTTATATAATTAAAGAGCGTATCAGGGAGTGGTTTTCGTAGACATTAACCTTGGCCTATTTCTCCCTTGTCTTGCAGGTGTACCATACTTTGTTCTGGCCTCTTGAATGGACAGTGGCCGGCAGAGACAACAATACTTGTTATGCAAAGATAATTTGCCATAAATTCGACAATGTACGTAATATGATTGGATGCTAAAAAGCTGTTTATTTTAAACTGTCACTTTTAATCTAGTATTTGGGTTTGAATGATCTCTTTAAAGACCGGGCGAGGCAGGGCGAGGCAGAAATCCTTCAAATTGTTACCAAGTCCGTGTGTTTGTGGCGGTTGCACACGTGACAGATTATAATGGAGGCTCACTAATAGTCTCAAAAAAAAAAAAAAAACCGTTGAAAGTTGTCTCTTCCCAGAGCTATCTAATTTGGCAGTTTAGAACCAGATGATCTGTGAAAGTTTTGGTCATCAGCTAATAAAATAAAATGTGTGTGCATTTTGTAAACTGACCAAATGTGTGTTAGAGCCTTTAGAAAGAGATGTTTGCATGAAGTGAAAACTAGTTAATTAACTGATTCCTAATGAAGGCTTTCATTAAAGAAGAATCAGTGGGGTGGAGAGCCAGTGGGTGGAGGCTCTCTGCCTTCCCCGTTCTTGAGGTGAGCATGAAATTGATAATAGGCGCCTTCATTATCGTAGTTGAAAGCACAGCTTATTTATGACTTGTTTTGTAAAGAACACTGAGTATAGGAAGCAGTAGGACTTGGTTCTTCCCTCTTTAAGAATTTATAACCTGGGAGATGAAACATAAAATTAGGTAAATGTGAACAGCGATATTTGTATGAAGTTTACAAATATAATGGTCATCTTTGAATCCATCAAATTTGCAGTGTAACAGAAAACAGGTGTCACAGAACTCATGGCCAGTTAGCAGGTGCCCCATTGCCTGAGCGGTGAAGGCACCCAGAGCTTTAGAACTTAGTCCCTTGGCCCTTGCACAGGTGTGCAGGGCAATGAAGGGGATACTGGTCAGAACGCCCCAGAAACACCGTAGGGCTGTGACACGTTCCCAGCTGTGCTCCCCGGGGGTGGTGCCGGCTGTGGGGTGCTTGTCCTGACTCTGGACATGAGTGATGTGAGCTTACTGTCATGCCAGCTGCAGGTGGCCTTTGCAAAGGGAGCAGGCGGAGATGGTCTGCATGCACCACCACCCCCCGGAGTGAGCGGGATTGGGCTCAGATTGGTAGAGCCCCTGCCGAAGCCAAGATATTTCTGATCTCTCAACAGAGGTGTTGACTGGTGGGCCTGGGGCAGAATTTCAAGGTCTCTCCACCCCTCTTTGGGCATCTTCTGCTCTGTTCCTTGCCACTCCCACCACTTAGCCTCCACTGCCCTTGCACACTTGCCCGCCCTCCACAGTAGAGCTTGCTCCTCCTTTTACCCCCATCCAAACTGCTACTTCTAGAGTATCACCCTGGTACTTCCTACCTTCCTGTGGCTATTTGGCAAAAAGGGTGAATGAGGTTTGCCCTCTCACAGGACCTGCCTTCATTTTCATTTGTAAGGGGAGATTTTCATCAGAGGTCCTTTGTCTCTCCGGGCTGCCCCCCTTTCCCCACTTTCCTGCACGATGCCCCATCTCAGAGATTCCAGCTCAGGAGCCTTCTGTGGGGTCCCGAGAACTCTCACTTTTCATGCACAGCTCCCGTGGCCTCTGATGGCCAGCCCCCTGAGAAATGCCGTTCCAGGGCCTCTCCTCTGAGTGCCCACCAGTAGATGTGCCCGAGGTTGTGTGCTCTTTGTTCTTTCTCCAGAATGTGGATGGCAGAGGTCTCTCTCCTGCCCTTCTGCCTTCTCTCTCTTACCTGGTGAGCACTTTCACTATTGAACATCAAAATGAAGACTAGAGTCTGATGAAAAAACACTGGACAGCCTAAAATGCAGTGTTACCTTGGAAATATACTTTGACTCTTGCTTCCTGTCTTGGTGGGTCTGCTCATGCCCTGCGCCCCGTCCCTCCCTACATGCAGGCCTGGGTGGAAACCCCACTCTGGCCACTCCTTGATCTCTGCTTAGTTATGTCAAGAGCCGGGCAACTTGTTTCCTGGGCCAGGAACCACTACATTTCCAAACCCTGATGCCCTAGAATTATTCCAGCATTGGACTTCAATTCAGATTTGTTAGGTTGTTGTTTAGCACTATCTCAGCATAATTTGGAAATTTACATCATACTAATGAACTCCTTCATGCAGTGGGTAAATTGCTTGTTCTAGTAAATTTGAGTGCAAATTAACTCTGGATGTGCATTTACTGGCTCATTTAACAGGTTCTTACAGTGGTTCAGTTTCATGATAATGTTCTCTGCTCAGTTCAACGTTAGAGTTCTTTTTCTGTAGTAGCTGCCGTAAATGTTAACTGTGAACTTGCAATAAATAGACTTCTATTCAGATCATTAACCTACTGGGCTTCTCTTTCTTATGTTTACATATTCAAGTATCGGGTGATAGGATTCCATGTTCTTGGACCGAATGCCGGTGAGATCACCCAAGGGTTTGCGGCAGCAATGAAATGTGGGCTCACAAAACAGCTACTTGATGACACCATTGGAATTCATCCCACATGTGGTGAGGTACGGAGATAGGTTTGTGTTTTTACTGATTTCAGTTGGTGTAGTTTGAAAAACTATTCTAAAGCACATCGTCAGAAAGATTTTGTATTAGTAACTGCTTCGTATATTTTAAAGGTTAACCTAGATGTAATATTCAAAACGTGTTTTCTTAAAGCAATACTGAAATATTGATGGCCAGATATAAATGTGTTTGGTTTTCTTCCTTTCGAACAGGTGTTTACAACTTTGGAAATCACAAAGTCGTCGGGACTAGACATCACGCAGAAAGGCTGCTGAGGCTAGCCCCGCTGCTGTTTGGTTTTCCTTGTCCTATTCCCATTTCTCTCGAAGATAAGAATGCCCCCCGGGGAAAGTGAGTCGGTGCTCATGCACCTGCTCTCTTGCACAGGGCCCAGTGCTGGACTTCTCTTCCCAGCACAGAGATGAGAAAGACGAGGAGGCAGGACGGCAGCGGGCGTGTGCTTAGCGGGCTCGGCCTGGCTGGGAGAGGCAGTTGGGCTGCCTCCTTGACGTCTTGGCTCGGAACCCGTTGTGAGGTGAGCTAAGGCTGATGCTCTTCCATGTCAGAATCGGGCTTCCCTCTGAAGGACCTTGCAAGCACACAACTAATCCAAGTTAACTTTTCTGGTTGCTGGTGTTTTTATCCCCTTGCTTTGTTATTTCTCTGAAAGTGTTTTCTCCATGTCGAAACTGACCGGAAAGTGGCGAGCCTGCAGTATGTGGGCCTGGAATTCCGTGTGGTCACTGGTGCACGGTGTCCTGGAAATGCCGTCGCGTAGCTGGCCGCGGGCGTGGGTGCACGAGTAGGAGGTTGCGCACACTGTGTAGAGTTCAGTCAGCCGTATCCGGCATACCCACCGTCAGACTCCCGCCTCCTGCCTCACCCTCTCCGGGTTCCCAGTGGCGGCAACCTTGGAGTCCTCTCTTATTAGTGTCTCGTGTCAGAGACACGCTCAAATTTCTTCTCTACGTTGATCTTAAGAATAATATTAAAACGTTTTCAATACTGTATGATGCGAAATCTAACGAACTTAAAACTCTTTAAAATGATTCAGTCTCTTTAAAATGAATTGCAGTCAAGTTCAGTAAATGGACAGGTGATGGGAGATTCTATTCGAATCTGCATCTGTCAGCATCTAAGAGGCCCTTGAAGTGGGGACCTGTCCAAGGTCCTTTTGGAAAATCCATTGTTTTCTTGGGCGCACATCACAGAGCAGCCAGTGCGAGGAAGACAGCCAGTGCTCTCCTGAGCAGGCTGTGGGCCATGGGCCCACTGTCGTAGGGTTGGATAGGTCTGTGGTCAGAATTTCTAGCCAGAGGTTTCAAACGAAAAATTTGAGGCCATTCAGCAGTTGGGGAACACCATCTGTAGATTGAGCCTTTTGCTCCCCTCTCCGGAGGCAGAGTGTGGAACAGGCCTGGAGTGGGGAGGGGGACCTGAGGGCCTGACAGAGGATCCAGTTATTGAGTTGCCTTTTTATTGGGGAGAGAAAGATACAAATATAACTCTGCAAAGTAAGCCTGGTTGTTGCAGTTGCTATAACCCAGGTAGAGACAGCCCGGTGAAAAACGGGAAGACGCTATTAATTTCCATTGGATATGGGGTGGGGGTGGCTGATAGATCAGGGTTTAATGAAAGCAGCTGTATTTAAACTGAACCATGAGGGATGAGTAGGATTTCAAGGATCTGAAGCAATCTGGAGAGGCTCTGAATGATGCTTTTGAAGGGTTCAACTAAAATTCTAGATAAAATAATTTTTAAAAACTTTGTTACTATATTGCTGAGCATCACATACATGCAAACAACCAAGGGTTTGTAGGACCCCAAATGAAATGAAACCAGGAAGCATAATGCAGAAAACCTGAAAGCCCAGGCCTGCCCAGGTAAGGTTCCAAATAGGAAGCCTTTGTGTAAAGCTGGGACCCCAATAGGCTGTACCCGCAGTGGGAGGGTGAGCAAAAAACATACTCTGCTTCCCGAAAAGAAGCAGCAAGGAAACTTGGCTATGTTCTTAGGAGGAAGGAAGTAATTCACTCAAAGAATTTTAACCACTCTCCGGGTTGCAGGCTATTGGGGAGGCTAGTTATCTTCCCTTTGCAAGGAGGAGATTGGGCTTAGATGTAAACCTATCTGTAATTGGCTCCCTCATACTCTTCCTCCCCCTTTCATCTCTTTTCTCTCCTCTCCTCTTCTGGGGTAAAGGTGGGCCTGAGATAATGGTGACAGATTAGGTTTACCAGAAGATAAAATGTGTATGTACCTAATAACATACAGATGCATACAGATTTGCAAGGAAAAATAGACATCCTCTATTATAGTAGAGATTTTAATATTCCTCAGTAATTAGATCAAACACAAGAAAAGTCAGTAAATTACTGAGCCATAGAAAAGAATGAAATCTTGTCATTTGCAACTACATGGATGGAACTGGCGAGTATTATGTTAAGTGAAATAATTCAGTCAGAGAAAGACAAATACCATATATTTCACTCATATGTGGAATTTGAGAAACAAAACAGATGAACTAGGGGAAGGGAAGGAAAAAAATGAAAACAGGGAGGCAAATTATAAGAGACTCTTAACTCTAGGAAACAAACAGGGTTGCTAGAGTGGAGATGTGGGGTGGGGGATGGGGTAGTTGGGTGAGGGTATTAAGGAGGGCACATGATGGACTGAGCCCTGGGTGTTATATGCAACTGGTGAATCACTAAATTCTACCCCTGAAACAAATAATACAGTATATGTTAACTAAATTGAATTTAAATAAAAAAAATTTTAAAAGTCAGTAAAAAAAAATACAGGTTTGAATAATATAATTAACAAGCTCAGTTTAATGAACTCAGAAGAGCATCACATTCAACATGAAAGCTTACTCATTTCAAGCACACGTGGAATATTTACAAACTTCGCTTATGCTAGCTTCAACAAATTTCAGAAGACTGATATCATAAAGGAATGGGCAAAAAGATTTCTGCTGCAGGACTAACACTAAGAAACCAGGAACCTTAAAATCCGTACAGTGTGATGGAAAGTGAGGTATGGAGGTAGTGTGAGGTGAGTGAAGGGTTAGAGGGAGATCAAGCTGGAAAGAGCTAGGTTAGAGCCAGGAACCAGTCAACAAGAAGGAGTTCTGGAAAAATCCTAGACTTTGAAGAATGATGACTTGTGAATGCCTGGTCCTGTGACTTATGACATATGACTTATATGACAGAAAAAGTTGCTTAACTTTTCTTATTCTTCATTTATTATGTATGGACAATATTGCTTGTTTCACAGACTTAAACACATTTATTAAGTTCCTTGCATACTGCATATTGGTGTAGGATATCTTGGCTTCTGTGATCATAAATTGGGGCCTTATTAAGGAAAGCTCTTGTAGACGCACAATAGTATAGCCAATAGATAGGCTGATGGGAGAAATATTGACAAATCAGTGCTTTGGCAGACTTCACCGTGGTAGGCAGCCTCCAAGTTGGCTCCCAGGTTGGACTCCCCAGCTGCAGGTAATCACATCCTTGTGTAGTCTCCTCCCACATTGTACCAAGGTTGGTCTCTGTGACCAGTAGCATTGGCAGAATTGGTGGTATGCACTTCTAAGATTAGGTCATAAAAGGACATGCACTCTCTTGGATCACTTACTCTGGGAGAAGGCAGCTGCCATGTCATGAAAACTCTCAGGAAGCCCATGAAGAGGCCCAGGTGGTGAGGAACTGAAGTTTCCAGCCAACAGCAAGTACCTAAGGTCTGCCATTGTCCATGTGAATGAGCTTGGAAGTGAATACTTCCCAGGCAATTTTTCCTCCAGCTAGCAGCCTGACTGAAATTTCATTAGTGGTTTTGGGCCACTCCCAGAGTCCTGACCCTCAGGAACTGTGAGATAATAATTATTTTTTAATCCACTAAGTTTTGGAGTAATCTGCTACACAGCAATAGATACCTAATATGGCCACCGAGGAAAATTAGAAGTAGTAGAAATCTATTCAGATAACTAAAATGTTTTGGGGACTTTTTTCCTATGACAAATAAAATAAAGCTCATACAGATTTGGGATCTCAACAAAAAGGGAGTGGAGCTCAAACTTAGTACTGAACTGAACTCCTCATCATGGAGAAAGTAACCCCAAATGGGAAAGTTCAAGAAGCCTCAGTGGAGTGCCTTCTGAGTTGGTGGTCCTGGGCTGTGGCTGTGGTGGGTCCCTGCTAAACTTCCTTGGAGCATCCATGATTGTCAAAGCTCACACTGAAAAACAAAACAAAATGACAAAACCCTGGAGAAACCTGTTCATACAAAGGTGGGTTCATCAAACTTAGCAAGGGAGAGCACTACCTTGACAGAGTCTTGGTGTCCTCTCAAATGGGAGCTAGGGAAGGGTACCTAGAGGATTTGGGAGGCCAGAGTTAGTTAAGGAGTAGTTACACAATAAAGGTTAGTAAGTGGGTCTGGGCAGGAATTGGCCAGAATTTGTAATTGAGGCTAGCTACTGGAAAAGTGTCAGTGGTCTTATCTTTGGAATTTGGGATGGAGCTCCTGGGTGGCTCAGTTGATGAAGCATCTGACTCTTGATTTCAGCTCAGGTCATGATCTCAGGGTCATGAACTCAAGTCCCACACCAGGCTCCATGTTTAGGGTGAAGTCTTCTTGAGATTTTCTTTCTCCCTCTCCCTCTGCCCCTCCACCAGTCATGTGCACACTCTCTCTCCAAAATAAAATTAAAAAAAAAAAAAAAGAATTTGAGATATATGAGACCATACAGAGCTACTGTTACTGTAGTCTTCTCTTGGAACATACAGCTCTAAGTGAGTAGTGTTAATACAGCTTGACTTGTATGATGTGGTTTACAACACTTTATGTTTTTGAATAGTAGTGCAGTTTTTCAAGTTGTGGTTTATTTCCCAGTGAAGAATCATCCAGTGCTTTTAAGCAGGGTGTGACAGGGAAACCTGTTAGGAATTTAATGCAAGAGATCACCAAGTATTTATGTAGATTTATGCTTCCACCCGTGCTACTAGATGTAATAGCCCACCATAAGCAAACTGGAGGAAATATGAAATGACTACACTCAGCCATGGAACAACGGTGTAGGACTATGATCCTTGAGAGAAGGGAAATGTGAAGTGATCCAATTACCCCAAATTTCTGCCAGGAAGTACTTTTCAGACTACAAACACAAGGGAGAACCCGAATCAAAGAAGCCTGGCTATCTTGCTAAAGTGAGGTGGGGGTTGGAGTTCAGGAAGGCTAAGGCAGCTGGAAGTTGCGGGTTGGAGGCTATGCAAAAAAGGGCTCCAGAATTATGCAACAGGATCCCCTTGGGTCTTTGCTGAACACTAAGCTACACATCCTCAGAGTAAAATCTTGAAAGGTAAGGCAAGAAATAATGAGGAGTTGTAAGTTTGCCACAGGTCTTAGAAGATGAAAAATTCTAATTGACCAGCAGAGGAGAGTCCTCAATAATACCCCAGGCATTAAGTGGAAACCTTTATGGGGTCATGCCTTAGTGATAAACTGAACTATCCCAGGAGGGAAGTCTACTGTAGACCTACCCTAACAGTGTATAAAAATAGACTTTAATGGAATCAAGATGATTTGGAAGTCACTGCCTGCAAAAGAAAGCACAACACTTTCTAGGAAGACAACAGAACATTCAACACTATAACAATAATGTCCAATAGCCAGTCAAAAATTACTAGACATGCCAAGAAGCAGGAAAATACCCATAATAAAAATCTGTGAATGGAAATAGACCCAGAAAAGACTACCTGATTGAACTAACACCCAAGCATATTAAAACCACTATTAAAACTATGCACAAGTATTTAAAGGGAAACATGAAAACAATGAAAAAAAAGTGGAAGATATTTAAAAGAACCAAAATAGCTTGTAGAGATGAAAAATATAATACCTGTTTTAGGCATAACAAGTAAATTTAATGTGGTATCCTGGATGGGATTTTGGAATAGAAAAAGACATTGGGTAAAAACTAAAGAAATCTGAATAAAGTATGGACTTTAGTTAATAATAATATATCAGTATTGGTTCATGAATTGTACTGTGTGCCATACTAATAAGGAAACTAGGTGAGGGGGTATATGGGAACTCTACTTTCTTCTCTCTTCCTTCTCCTTTGTAAATCTAAACTGTTTAAAAGTAGAAACCTTTTTTCTAAATGAAAAAGATCCTGCAGACATTTAAAAAATAGTAGAATATCTTGATCAATGTTATCCCAGTGTATTCAACAAGTTCGAGAAAAATGGACAAGTACCTAAAAAGACACAAAGCACCAAAACTAATTCAAGAAGAAATAGAAAATCTAAAGAGCACTACATTCATTAAATAAATAGAATGTATAACTTAAAGTCTTCCTATGGTGAAAAATCAAGGACTAGATGGTTTTGCTGTCAAATTCTATCAAACATTTAAGGAAGAAAAAACAAGTTCTATACAAATGTTTCATAAATAGAAGAGGAGGAACACTTGCAACACTGAGTCCAGTGTAACCCTTGCAACACTGAATCCAGTGTAACCCTGCTACCAAACACTGACAAATATTTTGAAGGAAAGATAGCTATACACCAATATTACTCATGAAAGTCAACTCAACCTTCCTAACAAAATACCACCAAATTGAATCCAGCAACATATAAAATGGATGATACATCATGACCAAGTTTGCTCCAGGAATTCAGGATTGGTTCAAGTTATGGGCTGGGGAGGAGAAAACAATATAGTTATCGCAGTAGATGCAGGAGACAAAATTTAATACCAACTTATGATATAAACTCTCACAAACTAGGATGAGAAGAAAACATGCTCAAACTAGTAAAGAGTCTCGACAAAAGGAAACTATAGCCAACAACATACTTAATGGTGTGCCTTGAGAACAAGGCAGGGATGCCAACCTGCACCATTTATATTCAGCACTATAGTGGAGGTCCTAGGCAGTGCAACAATACAAGAAACATAAACAGATTTGAAAGAGAAACATAGACTATCCTTATTTGTAGATGACATGATTGTGTACCTAGAAAATCTTAAGAAATTGGGGCGCCTTGGTGGCATCAGTTGATTGACCAACTCTTGGTTTGAGTTCAGGTCATGATCTTAGGGTCCTTGGATTGAGCCCTGCATCAGGCTCTGTGCTCAGCATGACTCTGCTGGAGATTATTTCCTTCTCCCTCTGCTTTTCCTCTGCTCAAACACACTCTCTCACTCTCTCTCAAATGAAAAAATAAAATCTTTAAAAAAAAAAAACAAGAAATTTACCCAAAAAATCTACTAGAATTTGTAGGTGAACTTAGGAGTCAAAGAATACAAAATCAATATACAAAATCAATTGTATTTCTAACTACAAAGCATTGTGAATTGAAAATAAAGACTATAACAGCATATAAATATGAAACACTTTGAGATAGATCTAATGAAATATATGTAAGACCTAGAGACTGAAACTATAAAACATTTCTGAGAGAAACTAAAAACCTAAATAAGAAATATACCATTTTCACTATTAGAAGACTCAGTGTTAAGTTATTCCTTTCTCCTTAAATTGATTTTTAGATTCCATGCAACTCCAGTCAAAAATCCCAGCAGATCTGCTGGCAAAAAAAAAAAAAAAAAAAATTCTTAGGGTATCTGGGTGGCTCAGTCATTTGAGTGTCCACCTCTTGACTTTGGCTCAGGTCATGATCTCAGGGTCGTGTGATCATGCCCTGCATCAGGCTCTGTGCTCAGCGTAGAGTCTGCTTGGGATTCTCTCTCCCACTCTCTCTGCCCCTCCACCACCCCCTCCCTTTCAAATAAATAAACAAATCTTTTTAAAAATTCCCTTTTCTTTCATTGGAGAATGTCTTTATTTCATCTCCATTCCTGATGGATATTTTTGCTGGGTATAGAATTCTGGTTCTTTTTTTCAGCATTTAAGAAATGTGCCAATTCCTTTCGCTTCTGTGGTTCTAATGGCAAATCTGCCATAATTTGAATTGTTGTTCCTCTCTAGGTAATATGTTGATTTTTTCTGGCTGCGTTTAAGGCCCATTCTTTGTCTTTAGTTTTTAGTAGTTTGATTATGATGCATTTAGATGTGGATTTCTTTGGCAGATTATTTATTTGGGGTTCACAAAATTTCTTTAATATGTAGGTTTATGTCTTTTGTCAAATTTGGTAAGTTTTCAGCCATTATTTCTTTAAATATGTTTTTATCCCTATACTCTTTTTCCTCTCCTCTGGGATTCTGATGACACAAATGTTCAATCTCTTATCATTACCCCCAGAGATCCATGGGGCTCTGTTTATTTTTAAAAATCTTTTTTTACCTCTCAGTTGTTTAGACTGGGTAATTTCTAATGACCTCTCTTCAAGTTTACAGACTTCCCTGTTGTCTCTATTTTGCTATTGAGTCCAATAATTTCTTATTGCATTTTTCAGTTCTAAAGTTCTCATTTATTTTTTATGTCTTCTGTTTCTTTCTTGAGACTTCTATCTTTTTATTCATTTCAAGAGTGTTTTCTGTTGTTAGAGATTTTTATAACAGCTGTTTTCACAGCTCTGTCAGCTATGAATGTGTTACCTCAGCATCGCCATCTATTTATTGTCTCTTCTCATGCAAATAGAGATTTTACTGGTTTTTCATATACCAAATTATTTTGTATTGTATCTCAGATATTTGGGGCATTATGTTATGAGTTTCTTGGTCTTCTTTAAATCTTACAGAGAAAGTTGACATTTTTGTTTTATCAGGCAGTTGAGCTGATTGGGTTCAGTTCACAAGTTTGAGCAAGCATTCTGTGTTGTGAATTCAATGTTGGTTCCTTTTCCACAGTGTCTATGCCCAGTATTCTCTCTGTGATTGGGCTGCCCCATAATTCAATTCTCAACATCAGTAGTATGTTATATGGTCATATCCATGAATATACAGTGTGGGCATTGAGCCCAGAGGTTTACGGACAACTTTATGGTGTCACTTCTCCACGTTCCTCCCTCTCCACGATCTCAGCAGTATTTTTTTGTTCTCTGGGCCCCACAGCTGGGGCTTTATTTACCTCATTCTGCCACACACTTTATGCAACTGTGTCCACATCAGGGGCCCAGTGGTTCCTCTCCCTCAGAGTTTTAGACATCTGTCTTCCCTGCTGTTCCTGCCACCACTGTTGTTGCCATGGGGCAGAGGGAACAGAGAAGAAAACCCACTCACTCTCTGAGGGTTAAGGGACCCCCATCCCCACTCCTCAAGCCAGAAGTAGAAAGGTTTCAACTCGCTCCTTCTCTGTCCTCACCGATACCCAGTTTAGCATTTCAGGCTACACTGAGTCCAGACTGGGGGCTATGAAATAGAAAATAGATGTTAAACTCACTGCCAGTTTAGTGTCCCAATTCTTTTTTATCTTCTTCCCCAATTCTGCTACTATTTACTTTCCAGCCTCATTGCTATTCTGCATTCTGTCCAGATTTTATAGCTGGAAGAGACAGGATGGAATGTGCTAGCTTTTTCTTATGCAGAACTAGAACCTTCCAGCAGTCTTTTTTAAAAAACTAAATTGTGGGGCGCCTGGGTGGCCCAGTCGTTAAGCGTCTGCCTTCAGCTCAGGTCATGATCCCAAGGTCCTGGGATCAAGCCCCGTGTCAGGCTCCCTGCTCAGTGGTAAGCCTGCTTCTCCCTCTCCCACTCTCCCTGTTTGTGTTCCCTCTCTCACTGTCTCTCTCTCTGTCAAATAAATAAAGAAAGAAAAATCTTTAAAAAAATAAATAAAAAATAAATAAATTGTGAAAAAACAAATGCTCCAATTAAAAAATGGGCAGAGGACCTGAATATATATTTTTTCAAAGACGATATACAGATGGCCAACAGACACATGAAAAGATGTTCAGTATTACTAATCATCAGGGAAATGCAAATAAGAACCATAATGAGATATCACCTTATACCTGTCAGAATAGCTAGTATCAAAAAGACAAGAAATAACTAGTGCTGGTGAGATGTAGAGGAAAGGGAACCCTCATGCACCACTGGTGGGAATGTAAATTGGTGCAGCCACTGGGGAAAACTGTATGGAGATTCCTCAAAAAATTAAAAGTAGAAATACTGTATGATCCAATAATTCCACTAGTAGGTATTTACCTAAAGAAAACAAAAACACTAATTTGAAAAGATACATGCCCCCATGTTTATAGCAGCATTATTATTTACAATGGCCAAAATATGGAAGCAGCCCAAGTGTCCATGGACAGAAGAATGGATAAAGAAGATGTGGTATATAATGGAATATTACTCATCCATCAAAAAGAATGAGATCTTGCAATTTGCAACAACATGTATGGACCTAGAGGGTACTATTCTAAGTGAGATAGGTCATACACAGAAAGACAGATACCATATGATTTCACTTACATGTAGAATGTAAAAAACAAAACAAATGAAAAAACAATCAGAAAGAAACCCATAAATACAGAGAATAAACTGATGGTTGCCAGAGGGGAGGAAGGCAAAAAGGGTTTGGGCAAAATGGGTGAAGGGAGGTGGGAAGTATAGGCTTCCAGTTATGGAATGATAAGTCATGGGGATGAAAGGCACAGCACAAGGAACGTAGTCAATGGTACTGTAGCAGCGTCATATGGGGACAGATGGCAGCTACACTTGTGGTGAACATAGCATAACATGTAGAGTTAGTCACATCACCATGCTGTACACCTGAAACTAATGTGACATTGGGTGTTCACTACACCCCAGTGAAAAATTAAAGACAAAAAAAAACACTGGGTGGCACAGTTGTTTAAGCTCCCTACTCTTGGTTTTGGCTCAAGTCGTGATCTCAGGGTTGTGGGATCGGGCCCTGTGTTGGGTTCCATGCTGAGCACTGAATCTGCTTGGGTTTCTCTCTCCCTCTCCTTCTGCCTCTCTCCCTGCTCGCTCACACACACTCTCTCTCTCAAATAAATAAATAAATTAAAAAAAAAAAAGTTCATGCAGATTAAATAGACTTTTGTATCATGTTTAAAAGATAAATAAATACGAATAAAAATAAATAGTGAAAAACTGAATCTAAAATTTATATGAAGATGTGGTGGATTTCCAGATAGCTAAAACTACATTGGAAAATAGAGGTTTATTAATTTTTTTATTACTTTATTTCTTTACTTACTATAACACTGCAGTAGCCAAGACAGTGTGGTATTGGCATAAGGATGGATAAATAGATCATTGGAGCAGAAGCACAGTCCAGAAATAGGCCACCTATATTGGTCTGTTGCTTTGACAAATGTACTGAGGTAAATCTATGACAAAATGATAAACTTTTCAACAAAATGAAAGGTGTTGCTGGAACAAGTGGGTATCCATAAGGGGAAAAGATGAACTTTGGCCTTCTCTAATCACAAACAAAAATCAACTAAAATGGATTATAATAAAACCTAAAACTTCTAGAAGAAATCATAGGTGAAAACTTCATGATTGTGAGGTAGACAAAGATTTCTTAGTATTCAAAAAGTATGAATCATAAAAGAAAAGAGGGATAAATTGTACTTGATCACTTTTTAAAAATTCAATTAGTCAACACATAGTACATCATTAGTTTCACATGTAGTGGTCAGCAATTCGTCAGTTGCTTATAACACCCAGTGCTCATCACATCACATGCCCTCCTTAATGCCCATCACCCGGTTACCCCATTCCCCCCCACCTCCCCTCCAGCAACCCTCAGCTTGTTTCCCATAGTTAAGTCTCTCATGGTTTGTCTCCCTCTCTGATTAAAACCTCTTTGAAAGACGGCGTTTAAAAAGTGAAATGTGAGCCACCAATTAGGAGAAAAATATTTGCAATGCACATATCCAACAGAGGACTTGTAGTCAGAGTATACAGTTTCCTTACTGGTCAATAAGAAGAGAAACAACCCAATAAAAAATGGGCAAAAGATTTGAGCAGAATTTCTTCACACTTGGCAACAAAAGTACACACTTGACCAAAAAAAGCAACATAAAAACTAGCCCGACATCACTGGGGTAGGGAAATACAAGTGAAAAACACAGCAAGAAACTACTGCACATCCACTAGGATGGCTAAAATTTATACTGACAAAACCAAATGTTGGTGGGGATGTGTAGCAACAGGAACTCTCATACGTTTTTGGTAGGAGTGTGGAATGGTTGAACTACTTTGAAAACAGTTTGGCAGTTCCTAAGTTAGTCACATACTTAACCATATGTCCCAGCAAGTCATCTCCTGGGTGTCGCACAAAAATTCATGTGTGAATATTCAGAGCAAGTTTATTCATAACAGCATAAAATTGTAAAAACCCAAATGTCCATTGAAAGATGAATGGATGAACAAATTGTGATATATTCATATAATAAAATATTATTCAACAATAAAAGATGAATGAACCACTGGCAAATGCAACAGCATATATAAATTTCAAGATCATTATTTTGAGCAAAAGAAGCCAGGCTAAAAAAATATATACATTACTTGTGTATGTTCATACTTGTGTATGAAATTCTAGAAAAGGCCAATCTACTTTATAGTGATGAAAAGCGATCATTGCTCACCTAGAGGTGAGGGTCAGTGATTGCAAAGGAGGACTTCTTGGATCTTGATTGTGGTGGTGGCTACCGAATTGCATGAATTCATCAACTCATCGATTAATCATAAGTCAGAATGAACACTTAAATGGGTGCAAATTTACAGTATGTAAATTATACTTCAAAATTGATTTTTATTCAATGTTTATTGAACATTTCCTAAATAGTAGGCCCTGGTTGGGTGAGAAGAATGAGTGTAGCAAGAGGAATTGGGGGTGTCTCAAATGTTTGTGGCTGAAGTGGCTGAGAAGAGGATGAATCAAGAGAGATAAGGATCCAGATAGAGGGGTGTGTGTGTGTGTGTGTGTTTGTGTCTGTGTGTGTGTGTCTGTGTGTCTGTGTGTGTGATCCTGAGTTGGCATCTGTGACTCAGTGCCTCAGAATTTGCCCATTTGTAGACTGGCAATTTCATGAAGCCCCCGATCAGTAATGTATTCCATTAGCACTGACGGACTGCCCCAAGGTTTGATTATTTGTTCCCCACTGTGACCAGCATCTAGGAAGGGCCATGTGGCATCAGTGCCCAGGTCTAGTGGCATCATTGTTTCTGTTTGCACTACCTGCTTAGAGCTCCTATGGATTGAACCAGGCTACCTCTACCCCAGTTCACCCAGATTTCTTCAGTCCTTCTACGTTCCCCCTAAATTCAAAGATGATACGTGACTGCCACAGTTTGGGGAGCGATGAACTTGGTTTCAATTCTCTTTTGTTAGATCACCTGCCAAGTAAGTGGGGAAAAAACTGAAATTTATTGTGGCTTTCCCGGGAAGAAGTTTCTACCATGGGGATGAATGCAGGATGGCAGTTTTGTACTTGTTTGCTCGGTGATGTAAATCTTTGGGTGAAATCACGGCTGGATGTTGGCAAAGCTGTGCAGACGGAGTGGGCCATGCGAGGGAACGCACTCAGTGCACGCACTCATGGCAGACATGCTGCGACTCTATCCCCCCAAATTGCCTTCTTAAAACACAACTGATTCCTCAGTATGTTTTCTCTGTGTGATACTAATGACCACAGACCATTGAATCAGCTCTTCCCTGGAGGCTCTCTGATTATACTAGGTGGGGAATGTTCTCTGCACTGCTTAATTGCCTTCATCCCCTTCTAAAGGCAAAAGCCCCCGTCACAGAAAGCTGTGATGACTTTGTAAGGTGGTATGCATGACTCCTTCACCTTAAACTGAACGCCGGTGAACTCATTCACTATCACTGACAGCCGTTAGCTCGTCGGGTGGAACTGCCAGGTGAAGTGAGCGGTGTGACTACCACAGCGCTGGGAAATCATGCTCGCTCCTTCAGCCTGTGGGGGACACACTGTGCCTTAGACCCAGCCTCGCCTGGGAGTTGTATATGGTCTCTGCCCTCCAAGAGTTTACAGTTGAGTGGGAATACCAGACACAGATAAGTAGTCAAGTATACAAATTAGTTTTGTCATCTCTAGGGAAGCAAATGACTCTTGAATTCTATCATAAGCCAGACCGATGCTTGGGTCACACATTTATCTAACCTAATCATATCGATTATAAGCACAGATGAGGAAACCATGTCCACAAGGAGAGTTACCTGTGCAGCCGGGTTTCACACCTAAGCTTGTCGACTCCAAACGCAATCCTTTTGCATTCTATCACAGCAGCAGGGGAGAATGTTACTAAATTCATGGATCAGGGCTCTGTTTTTGTTTAGTGTGACCAGGACATTTTACCGTTGGTGGGGAGGGATATAACTGGTCTGCCATCTTCCACTCGTTAAAATTGCCATAAAAGAGGGGCGCCTGGGTGGCTCAGATGGTTAAGCATCTGCCTTCGGCTCGGGTCATGATCCCGGGGTCCTGGGATCGAGCCCCACGTCTGGCTCCTGGCTCAGCGGGGAGCCTGCTTCTTTCTCTGCCTCTCCCTCTGGTCGTGCTCTCTCTCTCTGTATCCCTGTGTCTCGAGTGAATAAATAAAATCTTTAAAAAAAAATTGCCATAAAAGAGAAACACTTCAGTTTGAGAGGCATGTGCATTTAAAGGCAGAGACCCATCCTCGCTTAGAATCTCTTCTACTGATGGAAATTTGAGCCTCTCAGGGTGATCAGAGACCAGGCTGTGGCTGTTCAAGCGGTTCAGACAAAGTCCTCAGCTGCAATCCCTCAGCCATCCATGCTGCTTGTAGCCATCAACGGGAAGACCCGGGGCTCAGGTTGTTCGCTGGCGAGGATAAATGAGGCTTCTTTGGGACAGGAGGGGTTTGCCTCATCTGCTCTTGAACCATGTCATGCTGCAGGTTGTGTTTGGCTCCATCTGCCTCTCTTGGGAACTCCTGGACCTCAAATTGCTCCCCTCTTCTCCTCCACCTGGCTCCCTGGACCACCTCCACATCCTCCTCGGGGAAGGCCACACACCTCCAAATTAGCCTCTGGGAATCACATGTACATATTTTGATTTCTAGGAAGTTAAGCCATTTTCCATTTGTCCTGCAAGTGAAAACAAAACAAAACAACTCAGTTTTATCTGTCTTGAGAGCTTGTAGCATTTCTCACAGATCTGCCGGAGACGGATTTCCCCAGCTTTTGTCTCCCTGAAAATGTCTTTATGCCAATATCATTTTTGAGGGATATTTTTGCTGGCCGGAGAAGTCGAGTTTCACATCCCCCAAGCCCCACCCTTCAGCACTTGGAGGGATTCCCACCATCTTCCGGTATCCCTTGGTGCAGACCCTTGATCAAAGGCCCTTCCCCCTTAGACCTGGCCCCTGGTTTGAGGGAGTGGGAGAGGGTGAAGAGGAAGAGGGTTCTTGGTGACCCCCAGAGCCAGAGGCGCCATGGGAGCAGACCCACAGGTCTGGGTCTAGCCTGTGAAAGGGTGAGTGGGAGTGCAGAGGGGACTAGGGCCCCCCTCCTGGCTTGGTCCCTTCTCTTGGAAGGGCAGTATGTATGACACTCGCTGAGACCACAAGAAGGACTCAGAGAAAGCAATCAGGAAACAGGCCTGTGAACACCTGGAGAGGATGGTCAGGGGCTGGAGTCCTTTCTACAGCTCACTTTCTGCCTCCAGCCCCCAAACTGGACCCTCCTGAAGGCACAGGTGCTCCAGGACCTTCCTGAGCACAGTGATGGGAGTCGCTGGGGACTGCCGCTCTGAGGCCCAGCGAAGGCAGCCTTCTCGCCTGCTTTGTGGCGCTGAGTGGCTAAGCTGGCAGGCACCCAGCCTGGGAACCGATCTTGTCTGCTTTAACCCCACAACCAGACTGCAAGGCGGTATAGCATATCCCCCATCTCCGTTTGAGGAAACATGTTCTGGGAGATGAAGGACTTGCCCAGGGTCACACAGCTTGTAAGTGGCAGGACAGGAGCAGGCCCAGGCTGGCTAAGCCAGGTCTCGCCCTCCACATGCCCTGTCTGCCAGGGCGCACCCACAGGGAGGCCCAGCTGGCCCTGGGGCTGTAGTTCGTGTTAATTTTTTATTAACCTTGTTAATAAAGCCTTTTGGCTCTGACCATTCCGGGCAGGGAAGTTGCTCCCAGGGCCTCTGAACGAGATGTGGATGTGGGCTGCCCTTGTAGAGTGGTACTTCTGGCATGGCTAGGGGGTTGGGGAGCAGGGACTAGAGGGTCCAATCCGAGCACACTAACATGGGAGGGGCTAATGGGCTGGTGCTGCGAAGATTGATTTCTGCACTGAAAGGTTGGTGGGTTCAGCTGCAGTGTCAGGAGAAGTGTGTGCTGGGAGTCTAGGACTGCCTGTGTGTAGTGGGGTGGCCCCCAGGCCTGGAGCAATGTTTCTTGCCCGTGGGGAGGGGAAAGGAGGGGATTTTGCCCCCAGGGGACATTTGGCAATGACTGGAGACATTTTGGTTGTCACAACTGGTGAATGGGGAGCTGCCGCTGACATTTGGTTGACAGAGGACAGGGATGCAGGCAAACAGGGCATTCCCCACAGCAAGGGGTCATGGCCCAAATGTCAGCATTGCTAAGGCTAAAGACCCCCATCCCTCCTGACACCCTCAGTCCTTGCTGCGCCACCCTTCCCGGACCCTCCATCCATGCCACGGCCCCCAGAGCACACCTGCCTCGATCACCAGAGCTGAGCCAAGAGCTCTGGCCTCCCCTAGCACTCATCACCTGGGCCCAGTGGCCTAGAACAATTCTTGTCCTACCTGTGTCTGATTCTCTCCCAGGACCCCCATCTCAGCCAATGGCACCCCTACCCGGCCCAAACTTGGATTATCTTAGACATTTCCTTCACCTCCCTCTTCACATCCATCCCTCTTCCACTTCCTAAATCCCTCCTGGCGTGCCCTGCACTCTCTACCTACCCTCCCTGTGTCCATACACCTGACGGTAGGTGGCACTCTCCTGCTTAAAACCTGACAAAGACACCTGCTTCTCCTGGGCCACATAAGAGCAAGCACCACGTAGCACTTCCTGTGTGCAAGCACAGGGCGGAGGACCTGGACGTGGTCACTTCGTCCTCCCCACAACTGACCATCACCCCCATTTTACGGAGGAGGAAGCTGAGGCACAGAAAGTGTAAGTAGGAAGTCCACAGTCACCACTACCCTGTCTGTACCCGAGGCCAGTAGTCTCTGAGGCCACAGGCCAGTCTCCAGCATGCTGCTGGTTTTCTTTGGCTGATGAAGTTAGGGTGTGTTTTAATTTCTAATATTCTGTATTGTCCAAAAGTTCTGCATTGAGGGTCCCTTAAACAAAGAGTTGTGATGACCCTGCTTTGCAGTGTCCCCTTCTGTTGAGGCATGCTGCCACCTGGTGTATCCATGTGCTGTCACCTGCATCTCCCACAGTCTTCCTCCCAGCCCCAAGACACCTGCGCAGGAATCAGCCCTGCTTTGTTATCATCAAATAGACCTTTTAACTTAGGCAAGGTCAAATTCAGATCCAAGCTGATGTTTTTGAAGCAAACAAACATTCCAACAATGTTATTGAGGTATATAATTTACAAGCTGTAAAATTCACCTTGTTTTCAGGGTACAACTCAGTGGTTTTAAATACACTGACAGAGTTGGGCAACCATCAGTACAATCCAGTGTTAGAACATTTCCATCCCAGAAAGATCCCTCGAGCCCATTGGCAGTCAATCTCTGTTCCCACCTCCACCCAGGCAGCCGCTCAGCTGTTTCCTGGCTACAGAGATTGGCCTATTCTGGACATCATGTATAAATGTGATCATACAATAGGTAGTTTTTATGTATTTGCCTTCTTTCCCTGAACGTAATGCCCTCAGATTTCATCCATGTTGTCAGTACTTCATTCCTTTTTATGGCTGAGTAATATTCCATTATCTGGATAGACCACATTTTATTTATCCACTCATCAGCGAACGGACACTGGGTTGTCTCTACTTTTTGGCTACTATCAATAAGGCTGCTATGAATATTCATACACTAGTCCTCATGGGCACCTGTGTTTCCATTTCTCTTGAAAGAAATGAGAAAAGGAATTGCTGGTCATATGGTCAGTTTATGTTTAACTTTCTAAGAAACTGCCAGCCTGTTTTTCAAAGTGGCTATACCAATTTACGCTCCTACTAACAATGTCTGACATTTTCGGTTTGTCCACATCCTCGCCAATAATTATTATAGCCACCTAGGGGGTGCAAAGTTGTATCTCATTGAGGTTTTAATTTACAGTCTCCTAATGACTAACAATATTGAGACTCTTTTCCTGTGCTTTTAAGCCAATCATATACCTTCTTTGATGAAATATCTATTCAAATCTTTTGTTCATTTTGTAATTGGGTTGTTTTCCTATTATTGGGTTGTAAGAGGTCTTTCACAAACAATGAATCATGGGACACTACATCAAAAACTAATGATGTAATGTATGGTGATTAACATAACAATAAAAATTTTTTTAAAAAGAGTTCTTTATATATTATGGATACGAGTCACTTAGCATATATGTGATTTGAAAATATTTCCTCCCAGTTTGTGCCTCATCTTTTCCTTTTCATGATGATGTCTTTGGAAGTGCAAACATGTGATTTGGATGAAGTCTATTATCTATCAGTCATTCCTCTTATGGCTTGTGATTTTGGGATCTTATTTAAGAATTGTGCTTAACCCAGAATAATGAAAATTTTTCTCCTGTTTTTTTTCTAGAATTTTTATAGTTTTAGCTCTCATATTTAGGTGTATGATTTTTTAAAATTTTTGTGTACGATGTGAAGTAAGCATCTTTTGGCCTGTAGATATCCAGTTGTTCCAGCACTATGTGTTGAAAAGACTACCTTTTCCCCATTGAATTGCCTGGCACCTTTGCCAAAAACCAATTGGTCATAAATGTAAGTACAGAAGGACTCTCCTTCTATTCTCTTGTCCTTATGCCAATACAACACAGCCTGGATTATGGTAGCTTTGTAGGAATTTTGAAAGTAGGAAGAGTGAGTCCTACAACTTTGTTCTTCTTTTTCAAGATTGTTTTGGCTGTTTTGTATCCTTTGCATTTCTATATAAATTTTAGGATCAGCTTATCAGTTTCTGAAAAAAAATTTTTTAATCCTGCTGTGGGATTTTGATAGGGATGGTATTGAATATATGGATCACTTTAGAGAGTACTTCCATCATAGAAATAGAGTCTTAGGATCCATAAACATGGGATTTATATAGACCTCTTTAATTTCTCTCAGCAATGTTTTGTAGTTTTCAGGGTATAAGTCTTGTACTTCTTTGGTTAAATTTAGTCCCAAATATTTTATTCTTTTTGATGTTATTGTGAATGGCATTGTTTCCTTAATTTCATTTCTGGATTGTTCATTGCTAGTGTATAGAGGTACAATTGATTTTTTAAAATTGATCTTGTATCCTGAAACCTTGCTGAACTTGTTTATTAGTTCTACGGGCTTTTCTAATGGGTTCTTTAGGACTTTCTGCATATAGGATCATGTTGTCAACAGATAAAGATGGTTTTAGTTCTTCTTTTCCAATCTGGATTTCTTTTTTGCTTCCCCATTGCACTGGCTAGAGCCTCTAGTATAATGTTGAATAGGAGTAGTGAGAACAGACATCCTTCCTGGCCTTCAGGGGAAATCATGTAGTCTCTCGCCATAAAGTATTATGTAAACTGTAGGTTTCTCGTAGCTGCCCTTTATTGGGTTGAGGAAATTTCCTTCTATCCCTAGTTCACGGAGAGATTTTACCATTAAGGAGTGTTGGATTTTGTCAAATGCTTTCCTCTGTCTCTTCAAGTTGATAGTGTGACTTTTTCAAAGCAACCAAATTTAAAGATTCAGTTAGGTATGTTTTTTACTTTCCTAATCATTAAAAAAAATAATTGAATTTCAGAAATATAAGAAACCCTGAAATTCATTTAGCCGTGTGTTTTCTGAATTTCCATAATTCACGACTCATGTCTCTTTTCACTTGTACTATTTACTCAATAACGTCTTCATAAATCAACTCACATTTAATAAATATGTACTTAAGTATATGTCTTTTAAAAGGAAATTCATATTACCACTACAAATAGAAACCAGTCTTATTTGCCTTAAACAGAAAGTAATTATAATAGTCAAAGCACTAAAGAAAAGACATTATAGCATAAAAATAAAATGGCTTCCTGGTTAGGATGGTGGGTTGAAAACAAATGTAATAATACTTCCTGTCTCCCTGCTCAAAGCCCTCTCAAGTTGCAGTAAAGGGATGTTTCATTAAAGCTCAGTCTCACCAGGGGTTGGGAGGGGCAGGAGACCCCAGCCCCTGACTGTGGGACCTGGAGCACCAGAGGACGACTAACTCGGGGACGTGTGGTGGGAGAGGGGTCTCCAGAGTGCCTGGCCAGAGCTGAGAGCTGAGTGACAGAGGCCGTGGGGACTCAAAGCCCAGACCATGCCATGCTGGGACAGGGACCGGGCGTGGAGGGCACTGGGGAAGGCGGGAAGAAGCAGTCACACCCTGGGCTGCCAGCCCCTCTGCCCCCCATCACGGGGAGGTTGAGCGCTGGTCCCCATCAGTGCAGACCTGAGCACTCTGGAGAGTGTGGAACAAAGGCTTCTGGACTAGGGTCCAGCCCCTGGGAGGGACTGAGAGACTAGTCCAGATGTAAGTGATCAAGGCTGAGGACAGGCCCTCTTCAGCTGCCCAGCTCCAGGCCTTTACCCTCCAGCTAGGAGACTGGAAGAGGCCTTCCTGGGGGCCTGAGCAGCTGGGAGGAAAGGCCTGGAGAAGTGATTCGGGCCCTGGAGGAAAGGAAAGGATCAGAAAAGATCATACTTGCTCAGGCGTAGAGATGAGGCAGTGAGCATTGATTTAACGGAAAGTTGTCACGGAACTACTTTGGGGAGGTGAGAGGGGTGCGGAGGCGGCGTGTCTGGGACAGAGGAGCCCTCATCCCCCGCCACAGACTCAAGAGATGGTCAGTGAAATGGAAGAATGCAGATTGCACTGTTCCCAAATGGCTTGCAACGCCCTGAGGTAGATATGCTGGGACGGGACAGCTAAAGCAGACAGCAGTCACGGCCTTGGGGGAAAGGGGATGGCTGTCGCCCCAGAAGATGGAGGATGGCACCTGCTGAGAGAGGTCTGGATTTTAGTTTTGAAGGCAGCCAGCGGGGAGAACCCTGCGTCATGTGTGTAAAGGAACAAAGGGCAGGACGTAGCTGCCTCTCCGCTGCTCTGGCAGCCGGTCGAGCCCCGCAAAGCAAGTCCTGCCGCAGAATGATTGTGCTGGGTATTGTGTTTGCCCTTCCAGCCTCTTCTCCACTTGCCCTGTATCCTGGGAGATGATGGGGGCCTCGTCGGTAGGACTAGCTGGGTCCAGCCAGTGGGAGGCACTCAGAAGAGACCCGAGGGGCTGGGAGCCCCGCCCCCCCCCCCCGTGGGCCCTCCCACAGCTGCGGCCACCCCTCCCCTCCCACTGTGGGTGCAAACAGCTCCCCACCGTGACCCTCGGTCCCCATCACCCTCCCCCTCTTCCGGCACATTCCGCCTGGGACTCTCCCAGCCCCCGGGAGCAGGCCAGCTAGTGTTTCCTGCGGGAACCTGACGGGTGGGAGGGGAGAGCCTGGGGCTTCGCGGCGTTTTATTTCAAGGAGTCGTCTAGGGCGCGCTCGGGAATCTGCTTCTCCACACACGTCAAGGTCTTCTGTAATGTTGGCCAAGTGATGCGGAGGGATTCCTTGTCCACTTGCCACTGTCGTCCAGTCGGGGAGGAGACTGAGGAAGCCCTGCCAGCAAGCCCCGGGCTCCCCGCGTCGCCCAGGCCCTGCTCTGGGAGCTCGGCTGAGTCCTGGAGCGCGTCGCGGCGGGCGGCGGGCGGCGGGGGGGTCTTTGCTCTCGCGCACTTGGCTCTCAGCCGCGTGCCTCCCTGCCTGAACCGACGCGCGGCAGACCCGAGCGCTGAGTCAGGGAGCGCGAGCCGCCAAGGGAAGGGTGTGGCGCGCTGTCAGCCACGGCGGCGCGCTGGGCGCCCTCCTCCCCCCAGCTCCGCAGACGCCCCAGCGAGCAGGGCCCCTGGTATCCCCGCTTTACAGCTGAGGACAGTGCAGGCCCACAGAGCGGGGCCGCGAGCAGCCGGACGGACGGGCGCGTGCTTGGGGCAGGGCGCCGGGGGGCCTCCTCAGCTGCTCGCCGCCGCCCGCCTCACCCCAGACAGCTTGGACGAGCGACCGCGGCTGCGGGCTGGGCTGCTCTGCCACCGCAGCCCCTCTGCGCACCTGCCCCTGTTGCCCGCGCTTCCCGACCGCCGCCGCCGCCGCCACCGCCACCGCCACCGCGCGGGAGGGGATGGGGGGTGGGGCAAAGACCGCCCCACGGAAAGCCCTGCGGGCATATGCCTCCGCTTCCAGGGCCACCTGACTGTGGTGTTTGGGGAAAGACGTCAGACTCCTGGCTTCTCCCACAGCTACCCGTGGTGCCAGGGCCCCCGCTCTCTCTCATGGCCGCTGTCCTGAGAAGACGCGGTCTCTGGGCCACCGTCCGCCCCGGGGGGTGGGGGTGCAACTCCCACCACAGGGCCCGGCCACACCAAGCACTCAGGACGAAGACACAAGTTTTGAGGATTTCACCCAAGTGAAATGTCACCAATATCAAATGTCCTTGCTCTGGCAGTAGCCACAAGCCAGATCCAGGTTTGGGAAGGGGCTCACCCTGCAGTTCCCCCACCCCACAAACACAGCACTCTACTGGCAAAGTTGAATTTGGGTCTCTGTGATTAACATTATGCAGTTTGGGTTTTCTTTTTAATGAACTCTCGGGCCCCAGGCTCCAATTTTCAGCAGGATTCAAGGTCCCAAGATCTGGGCGTGTCCAGATGGGAGGTGGGAGGGGGAGGGGAGAGTTGCATTATCCCGGAAGAAACCTCATGGCCCAGGCAAAATCCTCGGTCACAATCATAATGTCAGAAAAAAAGAATCAAAAGGAAAAGATGTTGAACAGGACAAGGAGGGTTTTGTCCATACTGGGAATATAAACATCCAGAACCTCTTGGCTGGCTGTGAAGCTCCAGAAACTCTGAGGGCAAATGTGGTTTCAGCTCTTGCTCACCCCTCCAGCCCAGACACGCCGGTCAGAGAGCGCAGGCTTGCTGGGCGGCTGGGGCTGCTTCTCTCCTCTCCCCTCTAACGCAAGTACCGTTCACATACAATATCATGTGTTTCAGGTGCACAGCATAGCGATTCAACAATTATATACAACTGACTCTTGAACAACACGGGGGTTAGGGGCGCGCACCACCTGCACAGTTGAAAATGCACAAAAACCCACTTCTGACTGCCCCAAAACTTAACAACTAATAATAGCCTACTGTTGACCAGAAGCCTTACTGATAACATCAACAGTCGGTTAACACGTATTTTGTATGTTGTACGTATGATAAACTGTATTCTTACAATAAAGTAAGCTGGAGAAAAGAAAATGTTATTAAGAA